CAGGAATGGGAGGCATAACATGAAGACAGTGGATATAGGAATTGCAGGATTAATCACATTGGAAGCGACATCCAGAATCCTACGTGAGTACAGGCTTAGAGTTGCAACCACCTACCTCACTTCCCTCCCACTAAAGCTGATGCTGCTGTGGGCAGCCTTCAGCAAGTCACTCTCACAAGCAGCCCAGAATACTTCCCAGCAGATGCCAGGTAGAGCCACCGCATTTGCAGATAACTCCAGCTAAACCTAGAGAGGGGCCAGGGAAAAACTTGTCCAAGGAATTCAGCACGTGAATGCATGCTTATTATGCCCAAATGCCAGGGCTATCTGAGGCTGCATTTGCTCAGAAGCATGCAAAGCTGTTTGCAGTGACACCTGCTCTACCAGCACTTTTTAGGAGCCTGCCACTGGCCTCAAGCTGACAGCTCCATCCCGACCTTAAAAAAACTCAAGAGCACATTGGTTCCAATGGCTGATACTTCCTTGTTTACAAGTGAGCCTGGCTTCCTGGCAAGCACCACTCGAGAGAGCGCCACATGGGAATACTTTCCAAGCAACTGCTACCATCTAAATTCCAGATCTTGCAGTAGCAAAAGAAAATCAAGCGACCTACGCAACCTTTCACAGATGGTCAAAGTTTGCTGAGCCACTGGGTTGATAATGTCAAGGTTAAAAAACAGACAAACGAGATCCAAAACAAACAGTCTGGAATCTTCTTCTGATGAAGGGCACGGTATAGCCAGTGCCTACCTATTGTCCCCAAGTTCCGGTGCTGCCAAGAAACTCACCTGTGGCTCTGGAGGAAACAGGGCCTTTGAGAGGCGGTAGAGGTTGCGAAGGTTGAACTGGATGCTTGTATTGGTGACCCTCAGCTCATGCATGTTTGTGGAACTGTCCCGTGGACAGATGTCACTCTCTCCTGAGAATGGAGACACCGTGATTGTGTTCTTCAGTTCATACCGTGGCAAGTTGTCAGAAATCCCGCCATCAACGTATCTCTGAAATCAAGACAAATGAAGCACTCTTCATTCTCATAACTAATCAAGCAGCTTTTACTGTGTCCCTGTTCGTACTTGTGCCAACAACTTGGGAAGAGAATGGAGCACACCCACCAGCACTGGAGGCATCAAAACCAATGATGCCACAGCTGGGTTGTCTAAAAATATCCTTTTGCTCTGTGCCTTTCTTCCTACGGCCAGGTGTGTTGGTCACAAGCGTTCAATAAGAAAGGCATATTCACTTGTGTCACTGCTGACTTACATCTCCTACGGGGTCTGACTGTCCAGTGAAATAATACTGCACACCCGCAACCACCTCCAGTGCAAATCAGCACTGATCTAAGCTGTCACACTGTGACATTGTGCCATTTTTCATTTGTGTTTAAACAAATAAGCTCAGACGCGGGTACACACTGATAGGCCATGAGTAAACCAAGAGTTAAACTAAGAGTAAAGCCAGCTGATCTGTTGCCAGCAGGCTTATCGAGCAGCAGTCCCAACGCATGCACAGATATTTGGAATCTACTTGCTGTCGTGTGATAATAGCGTACAAGGGACTTGGGTTTTGCTTCTAACAGGCACTCTCTTATCAGAGAGTGTTCTGTACATATGTACCATAAATACATTTGCGTTACCCTTGCAGGAGGGACAACCCCAGTAGCACTTACTCAATTCAAAGTTTTCTTTGAAGTGCCATAATTGCACAAGGAGCTGAGCAAGACAATCCCTATCACAGGCCTTTGGCAGAGCAAGGAACAGGCAGAAGATAAAAGGAAGGGGACATTGGTCAAGCCAAAAGAGCAGGAAGTTTGAGATCTCTGCATAGTAACAAAACAAGCTCTTGTGAACCTCGGTTACAGAAGAGTCCTGCTGATTTTGTATCAGTGTTGATCCTGCCATTTGCTGCCTGGAACCCTTCCCTTTGGACAGGTTCAAACACAAATCATCCTCAGGAGCTACACAGCCCTATAAGCAGCAGCTGTAACACCCAGCAGAGAGCTGAAAGATGAGGAGCTGAGCTGTTAGAGGCTGAACCTAGGCAGAGCACGGAAATGCTGACCGGAAGAGAAGGAACTCCATTCTGTATCATGCTTTGCCTCGTCTCACAGGCAGACTGAGCACTGACATCAGTCTTTTGCTGCACCATGCCTAGGAAAATGCTGGCTGCTTTGCCCTTTGGTCTCTCCTGCTCTGGATGGCACACACCTACCTCTTCAAGCAGCTTCTCTGAGCTTGGGGAACAGTAAATAGGTCTTGGGCTGAAAGCAATCAATCAAATTCAGCTATTCAGTTCTATTTCCTTATCATGTCCTTCCCCTCACTCACATGAAATGACAACTGGCCTTCTTACTCTTGTTAGGGGTTCATCTCGCCGATGTGCCACAGAGATTTCATAGCTAGCACATGCATTGACAGGTCAGTTATTGACCCTTCCATTTCTCAGTATTTGAAAATTCTTTTGGGTTTTTTTTTCCTCCCCCCCATCTTCACAATTCACTCCATGCAGCTACCAGAGCCCAGAGAAGTCAACACTGGAAATAGATTAGAAGTAAGGCAGAATATGGATTTTACACCTTGCACACGATCATATTGCCTTGGTCCTCACACTAGGCCTGTCAGTCTGACCTGTGGCAAATACAGTCATCACAGGCATGCTAGGAACCATGCAGTCCCATTTCAAGGCCTTTTCCCAGGCTCATACCCAACCTAATTTAACCTCTCCCCTCACCAGTCTCTTCAGACACAGCCAGCCATGACTTTCTGGGGAAGAGGTAGGAATTCATTTCCTCATCTTGTATATTCCCTCCACACCTTTCCCCAAGAGAAATCTTGACATGAGAAGTAATCCCTCAGTGTGCCAGGGCAGCTGCACATTCCAGAAACCCTGATGTTGTACACTGTTTTGGAATTTTGAGGTTTTGCCTGATCCACGCTGACCTCAACTAGCCCCGAAGAAGTTTCGGGCAAGAGCCACTGTTACACTCCCACCAGCTGTGGGACGAAAACTCTGCCTGCAGCTGCTGAGCAAATGCCAAACTATCACTGATTTTGTCACTTCTGTGAAGGGCATTTGACATTTCTTCTAGGCCATTTCCCTGTCCAACATGCTTGCGCAAGACAAAACCAGCCAAGTTGTATATTGTGCAGGAGAAAAACTGACCTCGCTTTTAGGACGCTGACAGCAGTAGGAGCAGACCTGATGCCATGGTCTGACAGACTGAGGCATCTTGGTCAGGTCACTTATGCAAAACCAGGGCACACGTACATTAATAGCAGTTCTTTCTCCTTTTTGATTATTTAGTTTGCAAACAAACTACCTTTTCATGTGTGCATTAACCTATGTAGCACAAGGGGAGTCCAAGATCAGCTGAGGCCCTTAAGCATGACTGCAATATTCAGAGACGCTCCAGCTCTACACAGCTTTCAAGTGTTTTAATTTTTAACATGCAAACACAGACGGGAGAAATTGCTCTGGACAGCCTCGGACAGGACGTTAAAGAAAGCTCTAGCAGGCAGAACAACTTTATTTTCAGAAGAAGGACAGGAAGAACTCCATGGCAAAGAGGTCTGGTATGGGCACCACTAGTTAAAACACCACAGAAAGTGTCAGGCACGTCAGAAGAGGGACTACGCTTGTGATTTCTATCCTGGACCCCAGTTCTTTCCACACACAGAGGGTTGGAGTCTCAGTGACAGACAGCATTATACCACATAGCCAGGAGAACCATCTGCTAAGTCAGCACTTGCCCAGATTGCTATACAGTACTGTCACGTTAAATCGCCTAGTCTTTGGGGCATTTATAGCCAACTGCACTCAGCAGTGGAAAGAAGGCCCATCCACTGTTGGAAGTTGTTTATTTAGGAATTTCTCATAGCTTTTCAGGCTATTTGCTGCCAGCAGACAGACAGTAAGACTGACAAAATTGAGTACTAGCATTTCTGCCTTCTTATTCATTAGTACATGATCTAACGAAGGAGCATCTTAGAGTGCTACTTACCACTCCACGCAGAGTTGGAGGTATCAGCCCACAGTAGACAGGGATAAAGGTGCTGCAGACACAGGCCTGAGGGAGAAAGAGATCCAGAATGTAAAGAGCAGATCAAAGCCTACTGACCCTATTACTCTTCTTGGAACACCACATTGGCATGTGCTGATAACTAGGATCTGGTGACATTTGGAGACCAAGGCAAAACAAAGCTGCACACAGTTCCTGCTTAGCCCTCCGCAATGTTTCTATTCACCTGGATCAGCTCCTCCTTGGAATTGAAGTCTGACAGTATCACGTTTTCTCCATCAGAGACCCGTGTCAGGGAAATACCCAAACGCCCCGCTGCAACCTCATGCCCATTCTCTGGCACAGTCTTGGACAGGCAGATTCGAATGGTCTTCACCAAGTTGAAAGATGGGTGGAGCGGGCCCAAGAACCTCTTCCGGGCTTCTTTTGACACTCGAATAATGCTGGCACCAGCCTCACCTGCAACGAGAGAAAAAAAAACGCACCATGAAATCCTAGCAAAACCAGCCTTCTCCTTAACAAACCAGGGCACAGAAAAGCCCAATTCACAGCTTTACACAGACGTTACATAACTCGAGACAAGAGGCTATCGCAGGCAGTGCTATAGAAGTCATGGAAGTTTGCTGTCTTTGGTCCCATCGCAAAGAGCTACCCTCACCTTACATATGCTTTATAAAGTCAGGGAAGATGACATACATCTGATTAAGGCCTCAAAGTTTTTCAGTCAATCCTGTTTCATTGGCCAGTGCAGGGCTGGGGAAAACGCAGACCAAAGAAAACAAGGAAGATGCTTTAACAGCTTTGAACTTATGATTACATCCATTTCAAAACATCATCCACTAAAACTTTTCTAGTAGTGTCCAGTAAGTGTCGTCTTTTTTCTGAAAAAAATGTCATCTGCCTGTAAGTAAAAGGGCCAGTAGACAGAAATATCAGTGCTTTACAGCCAAGCAATCCCAGCTCTGCTGTCAGTGTCAGCCATATCTCAGGTGAACAAGACAGACGCTATGCTCCATTAGGGAATCGGTTACTTAGTGCCACGGGCAGTGTTTTTGGCATCCCATCCCTTCAGTGTCCGATTTCACAGCACTAAACTAGGCCCTGAAAACAAGCAGGACTCTGAAGGCATGTCAGCTCTACCCTTTCACACAGTGACCCAGCTGGGTTTGGAGGAGAGGAGACATCCCATCTGCACAGAAGGAAAGGCATCTACTAAACCCATTATCTCACAGTCACAATGAGCCCAATCTGGCAAGACCATTAGGGCTCTGCAGTGCGAAAGGAAGGATGGGAGAAAAACAAAGCAAAAACATCAACCCAAGCCAAACCCACAGCACCCAGCATGCTGCCCTTTGCACACACTGGCTGCTGCTTCCACATCCATCTCCTAGACACAGCAATATACAAGACAACAGTTCCTCTGAGTACCAGGCACTCACTGCACTCCCAGGGGCATCAGGAATATACATGAGGGAAGAATTAAAGAAACCAAGTGAAGAGAGACATGCTTTCACAAATCGAGACTTCTCTCCAGTCAAACTGAAGTTCAGTTCCTGGAGAAAGATGAAAGACTATCAGCTCAAGCCAATTGGAAATCCCTCCGTTTTGCTCTCCCACCCAGTCTTGCAGTTGCAGAAAGGAGGCAATAGTATGAAAGACCCAGGTTAATAAATATAATGGACATAAGAACACCACCACCCTCAAAGGTGTATTGACACTTCACACTCTTGCAATACGTTTTTCATCAACGCAGCCTGGGGATGCGATTCCATGCTTACGAAACCCACCAACACCAGTAGCTCAAGCACGCACAGAACTGGACCCTTGAACATGACCAGAGACTCTGGGGTCAGGATTGTAAGCACTCTGAGGTAGCAACTTAGCAGAAAATCCAAATTCCCCCCTCTGAAGCAATTTTTAGCACTATAATCCCAGTCTTTTGCTCCGTCCTAGAGCAATGTTTAGCAGTCTAATTCTGATCTTACTTACTCAATTAGCAGTAAGCCACTGAGCCCAGCCTGTTCCAGATAGTAGCCACATGGTTTAACATTCTTCCCAACATGAAGGAAGTCAGCCTCACAGAAATGACATTTTAGCAGCACCATGACATTAACACTCGTTACGCTTCCTAAGACGACCTCACATCAGACAAGGGGAGGAAATACACACAGAGAATCTGCAACTAAGCCAAAAACTGAATGAGTCGCAGCCGAGCGCCTCGGCCACACAACCCCAGGAACCTCGACTGCGCTCTGTGCACTGCAGGGAGTTGTTGGCTTAGCTGAAAAACCCAATGGTTTGGCATCTCAGTGTGCAGAAAGATTTGATTGCAGTTGTTTTCAGTGTTGGTATTAAATGGAGCTTAGGACTGTTGGAGCTAAAATATGAGCTGGAGGATGCTAAAGAAAAACAAACCAGCAAAGGTCCCAGCTATGTCAGGAAACAGACTGAGGGGAGACTGCAGTTGAAGCTGCCTGCTCTATCACCATTTCACAGCCAGATGAGGTGGGGGGACAGAAGAACAGAGGACAAAATAAGAATTACTGCTAATTAGCAATTTTATTCTTTAAATACTTTGAGTGTTTGGGGTTTTTTTGGGGTTGTTTTATACATGTGTGCATCCCTGCATACACATACACACAGGAGCTTCTGAGGTATTTCAGTTTAAGGGCAGCTGTGATTTTGTCTGTCTTGCTGGTTCAATCGCACCAAAGCTGTGGACAGAATGGCTCTGTGGGAAGGGACGGGCACAGGGTGGTCTGCAGCACCACCAGCTTTCCTGGAAATAAAGCTAGCTGCGAGTTCAGCCAAAGCAGCCAGGTTTACACAGATAGATCCATGACAGATGACAAGTCCTCTTGGAAATACATTTGGGAGGAGAGAGAAGAGGCAAGAATGTTTTAATCCCGTTAGTACCAGAAGTGCTATTCCAGGAAAACCAGCTCAAATTCCACTTGCAGCCTGACAAAGGGAGCAGCTGAATGAGAGGTGGTCAAGAGAGACAAGTCCTTCAAGGGTCAGCCACAAGCTATCAATTATTACTAGAACTAGTCCAGTGCCAATGCCAGTCCACAGAAAAGATTCGTATATTTTTTGATGGATCTGGTGATTCAGGACACAGGGTCATGTGAAAAAGCTAAATTAAGTTCCTCTTCCCTTACTGCGGTACATACCAAGGGGCAGAGACAACCCCTAATAGATTGCTGGAAAAACATTTAATTCTTCTCCCACCAATTAATTCAACACTTCTCCCTTTACATATTTACTAAGAAAATATTCTCCTAAAACTTACACTAATATGTAGAATATTCTGTTTTCATTAGAAAAACTATATCCCTCTTTCTTCCCTGCCCCCCACCGCTGCCCCAGTGGGTGTTGTTACACATAAGCCTGACTACAGCAGGGCCATCATCCTTATCTGAATTTCAGCTGCGATGACGCAAAGGAGCATCACAGTGGTGTCCTGAAACGCCCCAACGTGTCCCTTGCAAGACAAGGGAGGCCAGCTATTCCACCTCTGCTGGTTCATCCTGTGATCCTTCTGCAGGGGCTACATGGGGCAAGTTACTGTCAGCCATGGGAAAAGATGTGAAGCCAGTTTCCAGTTTGCATTCCATTTTCAAGCTATATCAAGCCAGCTTCACGTCAGCTTACTGATGTAGCAAGATCCTTCCCTTAAAGAACTGCTTGCACCCCCACCAGTCATGCTTGACTCCAAAACAACCCAGTACCTCAGTTTCTACTGCTTTGTGTTCTTACGCACACCAGCTCACCACAATAAATACATTTTTAAAGGCCTAGAACAAGATTTAAGTCACTCATTTCCAAGAGAAGCAAGAGCAGAGGTGATAGAGAGCTACTGCAAGGAGAGCTCAGAGGAACTAAGGCACATCACAAGCTTCATCACCTCTCACTCAGAAGGCGCACTCCCCTAAACTACCCTTCTCTACCCTGCAAAGCATAAACAGCACATGTTGCTTGAATAACTGTATACAAACACCTCCAGCCACAGCAGCCTGCTAATCCTCCATACCTCGAAAAGGAGAGGAGCAATCACCTAAAACTGAGATTAGCCGGGCAGCTGGGAAGACCCTTAACTGCAGCGAAAAGTTCGAGAAGAAATGGACGGGCTATGTCAAGCCTGTGCAATGCATGAGGATGAGCACCATCCCAAAGGTTAAACAGCCCATGGCAGGAGGGGTGGCAAGTGGGGAAGAAGGGCCTCTTCAGCAGCAGCGCTTTTGCACCGAGGGCACCACGATGCTCACCTGCTGACATCAGACCACACCGATAGCAGTCTGCCAGCCAGCATACGGCAGCTGACTCAAAGTATTTCAAGTGGGGGAAAAAACAAAACAAAAAAGAAAACCCAAGACACAAACAAGAATAGGAGCAGAGCAGGCTGAGGAGGGAGAAGGGCACTCTGGATATTCCACCCAGCAGCTCCCGTGACTGGCTCACCCATGAAACTGTAGCTCCCTCTGGAAGTGCTCCACATCAGCACAAAGATCACCCTCTGCGCCAGGGACCTTCCTGCTCCCTGGCTAGGGCAGCAGTAAACAGGATGCAAGCTCACGGGAAAGGCTCTCCAACAGGGATGGAGAACAGAGGATGGCACAGACAGCTGGCAGATGTAGGGACAGCATCTCCTATCCCTGCTGGTAGGAGGCACACACAGAGGTCACATCCCAGACTGCAGATGCTGTACCTCACCTGGACTAACAGACCAGGCAGGGAACTGCGCAGATCCCTGCTAAGCCAACAAGAACTCAGATGGACTCCTTCCTACACCAGCAACACGCAAGTCACTCATTGTCTCTCCTCAGTCCCATTACCCAACGAAGGCTCCAGACTGGCCAGACACACCGATACCAGAAGTTTTGAAAGGAAGCCAGCTAGCAGAAGTGCAGGTGCTTTCCACATTCCTCCAGTACCTGGAGAGTCCAATACCATGTTAGTTTGGGATGGCATGACCAAGCTATTTTCAACTGCAAGATTTTCAGGACAGGAGTCACCTCCCGTGTACCGTAACCAGGGACCACGTTCTGGAGCTGCTCAGCAGCCCGTTGGAGTGATGTTTGTGTGATGCTCAGCACAGACACTCCCTGCAAGAGTCTCCAGCTATGATCTTCACACTTTGCTTTCAACTCAGATAGTTGCTGGGCATCGCTGGAGTTCTCATGTTCCCCACTGGTAGATCCCAGCCCAGACTTTAATTTAGGAATAGGATGAGTCAGAAGGAATTTACTAGCATGTTCCTCAAGGTTAATTTAGCTTGGTTGCCTGTCCCTTGCCATTTCAGCTGTTCCTGTACCTCATTCACAGAGGAGCTGAAAGTCAGTCTCTAATGACAAGCATGGGTTTTGGGAGAGCAGTCCCGTGTTCTTCCCAGCACAAATCCTGACACTGCTCCAGCTCAGCACACACAGTCCCTGCACCTGCATCTTCTCTGAATACTG